TATCGTTGTCTCTGAATGAATTACAAAACAAGTTCTTCAGCGATCACTGAACAAGCTCAGTGTATGATCGCTGGAACTGAAATTACAGATACAGAAATACATCGAAAGGAAAAAGGGATTATCATCAAATCACTGAGAGAGAGGATCAACAAGTGGTTACCGGCCCTTTGCAATTTTTCCTTTTAAATCAGCAACTTCTGTAAGTGCTTTCTTCCATAGATCCATTTTTTGAGCCCATCGACTTCTTTTCTCTGCATTTGCCTCTGTCTCCATCCTTTGTTTATGCTTTGCCATTGCTTCTCTGAAGCTGCTTTGTTGCTTCCTGATATCAGTGGGCTCGACATGATAGAAGATAGGGATAACAATATGGTTAGAGTTCCTATGCTGTTCGAGGATCAATACTAGTTCGTTAAGACACCAAGTTGAAGAAGCATAATTCTGCGATAACACAATAATAGAAGCCCTAGATGCTTTGATTGCACTCTCCAGTTCCGGTTTCAAAGATAGTCCGGTCTCAATCTCTTCGTCATCCAAAAAGGTGGTGATGTTAGCATTCACGAGCGTGTTATAGAGGTGATTGGTGAAACTAAAACGAGTGTCGAGACCTCTGAAACTTAAAAATACGTCATATGTATAATTAGGAGTTGATGAAGACGATGAACAGAGTTCAGAGATTACAACCATTCTGAATCTTGGGAAGGTATGAAAGATTTGGGAGATGGAAAAAGAGTGGAATTATTATCATACAAAAGAATAATGGATCCAACAAGTAGAGTATATTTTATTAATGGATGACCAACTCAAAGTCAACGCTTCTTTGATGAAGAAATTGTAAGGAATTTTTTTTATTAACCTAAATATACAATCTGTTATCCGAGTCGACTAATTTCAAGACAACCGTATAGTTTACAGATAGTTCGGAGTCATCGTATTTGAACTTTCATAGTCACAGAAGGATTTTGATCTTCTTGAATTTAAACATGATATCTTAAGATACTTTTGATCTTTGAAACCAATCTTAAATCAATTAGGCATTTTCCTAGTGGTTATTGTATGGAAATTTACTTACTAAAATAAAAATATTGCAAATATCTATAAAAGGAATTGGGATTTAAAGAAAGTAATCCATATTAAACGCTTTCCATTATGTGTCCTAATTAAAGAGTAGATAATAGAAAAACCATTTAAAGGTTAAAAACCATGTGAATATTTATACTATATTTTTATGCATGAAGTATTATATATTGATGCATATTACTTAAAATTCAAGATTACAAGTAAATTATGCATAAGTACAACTTATTAAAACTCCATGTTTGAATTCGTGTAACTAACTATAGATAAACATAATCAAATAGAGTATAAGCATCTCATTTTAAAATATAAAAAATCTAAAATATAATTAGGATAATTATAGAGTTTTTCAAAATAATTAATTATTATATTTTAAAAAAATTATATTATTAAACCCAATATAAATTATTCGTTGTTGAACCTAAATTAAATTATAATTACAAAAATTGAAATAAAAATTACAAAAAAAATAAGAATCTTCAAATTTATATTTTATTTTAAAATAAAAATATTATCGTTTTTTTCAAAATCACATAAAACCATACTATAATATCGACTGAAATAAAGAATAAAATAAAATATTAAAATCAAGATGTATCTCGTTGCATTGCGCGAGTACCCTTCTAGTTATATAATATATAACAGTAGTTTAAGAAATTAACAAATAAAAGAGACAGTTTTTAGTATTTAATAGGATCCAAAAACATATATTAATTAATTACATTGAAGAAGAAAATATATAAAAAAATAATTAATTGGTTGTTCATTTTATAGTATTGTTTAATGTTTCTCTGTGTTTTTTTATCTGTTACTAAACTCTAAAACTACCTTGCCTAGAAAACATTGATATATTTTTCATCACATCATCTCCCTAACCGTATGAATTCTATTTAAATATTAGAATATAGTAGATTTATTGTTATTAACTAAGAAAATTCATAACTTTTGAAACAAAATTGTTAACCATATAAAACGATCCAACTTATATCTTTAAGATTTCAAAACTACTATTGTCTTTTCATACATTATTGACTCTTTATTACCTAATATAATTAATCTTAAGTACTTTCATATTTCTAAAATATATTCTCCATCATTCATCTCCCTAACTGCATTAATTCTATTTTTTATATTAGAATATAATAGATTTATTGTTATTAGCTAAGAAAAACTCCTAACTGGAAAAAAAATATTAATCATATGAAACGACCAAACTTATATCTATATTTAGGATTTTAAAACTAGTATTGTCCTTTCATACATGATTGACTCCTTATTACCTAATATTGAGTGCATGAATCTTAAGTACTTTTATATCTCTGAAACAAAAATAAGATCTCCAACTATAACCAAAATGGACTTTTGATTCTAAGATTAATAGTTCTAAAAATATTTGTTTTAACTCTAAAGTTTAAAATGGTGATGTAAACATTAACATGATCTGACATTGAAACTCAACTGATTTATATAAAGTGTTACTATAAATAGTCAACATTGGGACTGCAAATGATGTCAATCTATTTACCAAAGGTATATCATTAAGTGTGTTTGGCAGTGGAATGATTTACAATATTATGTAAACATGATATGATAGATAATATTAACTTAGAAGTAATTGTCGATTAATTTTGCATATAGAAATACTCTAAAACGGTTATTTATCATTAATGTTTTTTTATTTCTATGTTATTTTTGATGATAAAAATAATATATTGAATCTTTTTCATACTTATCGAAGGACCCTTTTTACATCTAACATAGACTTATAAAATGTCAGAAACATGTCTAATATTGAAACAAATATTTTTATAAATTGAATAAATTTTTTATATTTAATTGAAAAACCCAATGTGAATTGTTTGAGTTTTTTTATAATTTGGACAAATTAATGATCAAACATGAGAAAAGAAGAGAGTGAAATATTTGTGCAATCTAGAAGAAAATATTTTAATTAAAAAAAAAGTCAATGTTTGATATTTAATTGAAAAAACCATATGAAACCGCGTTGTTATATTAATTACAGCATCCAGAATATATAGGTTTATGTTGAGCTTTTTTTATGGGTTTTTACAAGAACCTACACTATAAAATAGAGGTTCGTTACAAGAAAACTTAGATTAAGAATCTTCAATGATATAAGCAACCCTCGGTCCTTTGAGCACGAGCCGCTTAACTGTTGAAATGGAGATATGGTAAAATAATTAGTTAATTGCTGTAACAACCCAACATAGAATAATGTAACAAATTGAAGTGCATGCTTACCTTTTGAATCTTCCCAGATCGTTGCGAGTTACCGTAAGACATATCCAATGATTTGAAACTACTATAAGACATGTCAAGAGCAACTAGATTCTCCAATTGCAGGTTTGAAGGTATATACTCTAAAGGGAACCCATGCATACACAACCATCGTAATTTTTTAGGGATGTTCTTGTAAGATCCCGTGAGTTGCACATAATTGAGTTGTAGTAGCATTAGATTATCCATCTTACCCAATGCATCTGTTTGCAACTCAACCGATTCACAAAAAGTGCTCTTTCTCAAGCATTTCCATGTCAAGGACGAGGCCTTTAAGCTTTCCTATACCCTAAGAAGAAAGAAAATGCTAAAAAACAAAAAACCTTAACCAAGTGTATACAAATAATACAAATTCAAGGAGGAATAGAAATCCCCTTGTGGGCACGGAGGTTCAAATGCGGTGACTCCGGGCTATCTGAAAAGCAGGTGGTCGTCCTGGGATTAGTCGGCTCACATAGCGGGTTGGATATCCAGGTTAATCAAAAAAAAAAAAAAGTGAAAATAGACGAGAGATGTATATTTATGGTACTAATTAAAGAAACATATCAAATTGCATAGGGAAGTAGAATGTTTCAAATTTCATTAGTGGAAATATGGGTAAAATAGTTTGTACCTAGTGTATATCCCACTCCGTCTGTTTCTTCTACACAACCATTTAATGAAGCTGCTTAATTCATTCAGCAATGTTATTTGTACACTCTTCTTTCCACCAGAGTCTCTTATTGACAACCTGAACCATTTATGCTTGTTCCATATCATGTTAAAATACCATCAATACTAGAAAACTGACTATTTCCGGCCGAAAATCCGCCGGAAAAAATTGCAGCGAATTTCCGGCGGCCATGAAAAAAGTCGACTTCCGTTGACTTCTGCTGGAAATACGACGCTATTTATATTCCAGCATTATTTCCGGTGAATTTCTGACGGATTATACAAATTAAATATTTGGAAAATTATTAACTCTAATTACAATAAATTACCGGCGGATTTTTGATTAATTTTTTAAATTTTACATTTGCCGGTAATCCACCAGAAAATAATTAAGATTAAAATTTATGATTTTAAATTACCGGCGGATGCCCGTGGCCGTCGGTGATTTAAGATAATAAATTCTTCTAGATTTAAAAAAATATTACTGTTTTCAGGCGAATTTCCAACGGATATTTGAAAATTTGTTTTTTTTTTTCCGTTTTTCATACTTAGGTTTTATATATATGTAAAATATTACCTATATTCCACATTGTATGTACAGTGGATAATAATTATGTTATCGAGTCCAACACACACACACATACACATACACATACATGTATGCAATACATACCTATATACAAACACATAATCCGATGTCATTGTTATTATTGGACTTTAATAACTATTAAAAAAGTCTTATTTGGTTTTAACGGGTCTAAGTTGAGCCCAATACACACCACATGCTCATATGCAATACATGTCATCTCACAAACACGTATTGGGCTTTAATGGTTCTTATTGAGTTTTTAATGGATCTATTGGGTTTTAATGGACCTATTGGGCTTTATTTAGTCGTATTAGGCTTTAATGGTTCTTATTGAGTTTTTACTAGATCTGTTGGATTTATTTGGTTGTATTGGGCTTTTATGGATCAATTGGGCATTATTTGGTCGTATTAGGCTTTAATGGATGTATGTTGGGTTTTAGTGGTTCTTATTGAGTTTTTACTGGATTTTATTTGGTCGTGTTGGGCTTTGATTGGTCGTATTAGGCTTCAACGGTTCTATTGGACTTTAATAGTTCTTATTGAGTTTTTACTGGATCTATTAGGCTTTAATTGGTCGTATCAGGATTTAGTGGATATTAGTTGGGCTTTAACGATTCTATTGGATTTTAATGGTTCTTATTGAGTTTTTATTGGATCTATTGGGCTTTATTTGGTAGTATTAGGCTTTAACGGATGTTAATTGGGTTTTTTAACGATTTTATTAGGCTTTAATGATTCTTATTGAGTTTTTATTGGATCTATTGGGCTTTAATTGATCTATGGGATTTAATTGGTTGTATTAGGCTTTAACGGATGTTAGTTGGGCTTTAACGGTTTTATTGGGCTTTAATGGTTCTTATTGAGTTTTGACTGGATTTATTGGGCTTTATTTGGTCGTATTGGACTTTAATTGATCTATTGGGCTTTAATTGATCGTATTAGACTTTAATTGATGTTACTTGGGCTTTAATGGTTCTTATTGAGTTTTTACTGCATCTATTGGGCTTTATTTAATCGTATTGGGCTTTAATGGATCTATTGAGTTTCAATAGATGTTAGTTGGGCTTTTTTT